GGCTTCTAATTTTCCCAACCCCCCTGGAGGGCCGTGTGGCCTGCAGAGGAAGAAAAGAACAAAACTGACTGCTGCAGAAATCTGGGGTTTATTTACTTGCTGAAGAAGGGTGAGGAAGAAGGTGCCTGGGGGAATGCAGCTGAGTCTAGCAGGATGTGTGGGGAAACAGGAGGGCAATGAGAAGTGTAAAATACCCACCTAGGATTTTGGTAAGAGTGGGATTGAAACCAGCAGGAGAAAAGGCAGAAGTAAAGGTAGGGGGAGCTGCGTGGAGTGCCTATTGCTGCTGATTTAGTGAGTCAGATACTTCATGTAAATGTGATACTGACGTCCAATTCCTCTCCATTCCATCTCCTATATTTAGCTTAGGGAACTTGCTGCTTTTTTTAAATTTTTGTTTTTTTCCCCCTTGCTGGAGGCAATGGAAACTGCTGTGACACTCTCTTTGCCCTCACCTCCTCCTTCCACCCCCTTGAAACAACACCAGCTTTTTATCTGCATATATGATGCACAGTTGTGTGTGTATAAGATAAGGCTGTGCCTTCATGGAGGTTTGGAAAGCTCTGCAAGGAACTTTGCACCACTTCCCTGTTGGCTGATGGTGAGAGCTCAGGTTGTTTGCAGAAACCTTTGACATTGTTGTGAGAGCTGATTCTGTCCTTCCCCTGGACCTGAGCGTCCCACAAGAGAGGACTGGGAGAGATTCCACAGCCAAGGTGTTTTTAAAAGCTGCTTGCATCAGAAAGGTGTACTTAAAGCTTGTGGGGTGGCATCATAGACCTAGAAATAATACCTTTAAATATGTGTGCCATTGCCAACAGCCTCTGCAGGAAGCAGCACACAAACAGGACATTTGATCTCAGCTGGCTGATAGATGGTTTGTACAGCAGCAATCCATACAGCAATGAATAGTTTCTATAAACTGTAAACAACTTGGAAATCAGAATATACTTGTGGATTAAAAAGGTGCTGTGATCATCAAGGCCTGCCCACAGCTGCAGAGGAGGTAGGATTTGTGCTGAAACAAGTGTGCCAACAGTGTTGATCATGTGCACCAAGATCAGTGTTTCCCTGTGAAGGTCCCATCTGGGGTGCCTTTGGAGCTAGTCTTGGTTTGCGTGTTGGCAGTAGTGTTTAAAAAGGTTGTTTCATACAAAGGTGCCTTGAAAACTTGAATTTATTAAAGCTTCAATTTGGGAAAGGGGTGGGTCGGATGGAAGAGGTGATGTGACCACTATAGGAGTGCAGGTTTGTAGTACTTAGCTTGGTTTACATTCACAATTGGAAGCTAGGAACAAAAAGATCAGTGCTCTCTTCCCTTGCATCCTTTCCATCCCTCTGGCTGCAAAATGCTGAGTGATGTCTTATAAAGGAGCATAAAAAGGTGGAGGATGGATAGATGGGTGTATGCTCTTTTATGCAATTAATTTTCCAGTGTAATTATTTTAACTGCTGTAAGATTAGAACCAACATAAATGGAAAGGAATAGATACTTTGGCTCTCCTGAGGGCTTGGTCGCCTTACTGGACTTCAAGGCAGTGTGAGTAGGTGAGTCAGTGATCTGAATATTCAATGTCTCCATTCCCTTTATTTTACTAGACCAATTTCCTTTGCTAAAACAGAGCATTGCCAGAGTACTAATGGGCACTGAATTACCTTGTCTGGGGAACCACTGCTAAGAACGGCTGGCTGTGTGGGGTGGAGGGAGCTGCTCTGGGCCACACTGAGATGAGCTGTGGGTGTCTGAGCAGGCAACTGAGGCTGCCCTAAACACTCAGAAGAAGCTGAAGTGCTAGAAATGGTTTATTTCTGGTCATTGAGGTGATGTGCTTTCTAGGTAGGAGTGGACTAGACACCTTCCCAAACATTTTGCTAGGGAGCAAGATACTTCTGACTCCCAGAACAGTATCTGTGTCCTGCTGTAAGTTTTGTGGTTTGTGGCCTGCCATCTTGCTGAATAAGGTCTCCTTGGAGTTGGCTGGAATCCTTCTTGCTCTTGTTCATGGCAGGCAGAAGAGTAATGGTGGGAAATCATGATGGGACAGCATAGCAGTGGGATAGCTTTTGTTGGGTAGTAGCTAGTTTGAAAAAAAAAAAAGTTTAGAAGACTAATTTATCCTGGCTCAATGACGTTATTGGTATAGAAGGTCATGACCACTTAGCAAGTTATGTCAGTTATTAGCTTACAGCTCAACATAACTACATGCAACCTTGTTTCCCTGAGTCTTCTGAGTTAAAATTACCTTTTCATGATGTAAATCAGTGCTTGCTAACCAGGAAAGAGATACTGTGATTTTTTTTTTTTTCCCCCTCCCTCCAGGTGGAGTTTATTAATTACGGGTCCAACTCAGTGAATCAAGCATAGGGTTGTCTTAAGATGAAGTTAAAATATCCATGCTTATGATGGCTGCTCTAGAAGCCACGTGGCTCTTAGAGTGGTCTGTTGATTTGCCTTGATATGTGAGCTGGGTGGCTCTTACTTTCACTTGTGGAGTTTTGATTTGGCCAAGAGCTGGGAAGCCTGCTGGCAGACAGCCCTCTCTGGAGTGCAACTGAGCTAAAATTCATGATTTTAAGTGACCAAAGGCTCTGTCATTTAAGTTAATAATGGCAGAGTCCTGGACCTTTGTGGTTCACTATACTATTCTAGGAAGTGGTTTGTTTTCTTGCCTGGTTTGAAGACCATGGTTTGTTTTTTTTCATCTTTCCTGTGTTTTTAGACTGTGTTCACTTCTCTGAAGTCCTGTTTTTCTGCAGAGTTCCTCACAATAAAACAGAAACTTAAATTTAAGAGCTGCTTGGAAAATCTTTGCCAGGATTTTGTGTCATTCTGTTATTCTGTTTGTTTTTTTTTATGATTATTTTGAGCACAATTCATACCTGTCATAAGTCAGCAGGATTTTGGTCCATTAACCCTATCCAACTCCACATAATGGGGTTTTGCTTTGCTTTTCCGATCAGCTGGAGCCTTGGGATTAGGTAGATTTTCACATCTGCTAACTTCCTATTTCATATCTTGTGATTTGTGAGGCTTAACCTCTGCTGACTTGTTAATGGATCACAAGCCACCTGCTTCTTTACACTAATCCCTAGAAATATGTAGCATAGCTTTAACTTGAACCTTTTCATATTGGTTCCCCAGTGTAAAAAGCACAGAAGAATCAATCCTGGTCTGAACAAACTGCTTATTTATACTTTCCGTGGTCTTCCACAAGATTAACTCTCCAACCATGGCTGTTTGCCTTAACTATCAAGAAAGTTTTTTTGCCTTTATTGCCTTGGCCTTCTGGGTAGGGCACGGGTGGAGAAGAGTAGATGGAATGGCATTGGTGGAGAGGAATAGTGTAATGGGGGGCAGGCACACTTTGTGACTGGCTGGTGCTTTGGATGTTAAAGCTTTGATACCCTCTGAAGGTGTCTGAGCTAGCGATGTTCATGGAGCATGACAGCTTCAGCCAAGGACTCTGACCTCAAGGTCTTGGTGTGTCAGTCCTGCTTTCTGCTCCCTTTTACATTTCAAAATTTACACTACTTCTGGCAGGCTAACCTAGTCAGACCAAGGGGAAGGTCATGGCAGGTCCCTGTCAACCCCCAGCTACACTGCCTGCAACACTGCTAGTCCTGCCTTCTGCTGGGGATCAGGGCCTGGAAGGACATGGTTTTTCTGGGTAGCATGATGCCAAGGTGTGCCCTGGCTTTTGCCTTTCTGCTTGGCTGCTTCAGGCCTCTGCTCCTCTATCCTGCACGTTTCTCCTCCTGACTGATGTCTGTAGCCTGGCACACGGTGTGGGCCGGCCCCAGCCCAATGGTGACGTGAGTGAAGTCCCCAGAGCAGCGAGGGTTGCTGGCAGTGGAGCTGGAACATCCCACAGTGTTCCCCTGGCACCGCAGCAAGGGAGCAGCTAGGACTCCCCAAGCACTGGCAGTATGTACTGACAGAGGGACAGGCAAACCCCACGATTTCTATTTTAGAGGTGAGGTGAGAGATAGGTCCTCAGAGCTTTTGGTGTTCTAGCTCCTTTTAGTCACTTAACAGTTATGCTTCTGGGAAGGGGCAGTAGGGGCCATGTGTTTTCTGTTACTAGTCATTACTGCTCTCTGCTATGAGACAGTGGGGTTACATGAGGATTTAAAAATTGTGTGTAGGGTGTTTGTGAAGAGTGGGGAAGCCTCCAATACCTGGGACTGCCCCAGGCTGGTTATGGTGGGCTGAGGCAGCAAGGCAATGTGCTATGGGCAAAATTAATGGGGAGGTGGGGCCTCTTCTCCTTCCCTCTCCTCCCAATTATTAACTGCTTTGCTTCCAATGGAGGTGATTATATTGCTTACCAGGAGTTTACTACTGCTTGCTTTTTGCAGTTCATCTTGCTGAGAGATTTCTAAAAGGCCCCTGAGCAATTTGTTTATTCAGCTATGTCCCTGGGGTCAATAGTATTTGTCATATGTCTCACTTCTCAGCTGGCCAGCCACTTCTTGTGCTACACTCAACAGTTCTGTCTAGTGTTACAGCCAGACACAGAAATGTATCCTGTCTACCTCTCCTTCTTTGCATCCCCTGAGAACTTTTCTGAAAGGTCCCCTCTTTCCTGTTTCCTGACCTCCTTACTCTGCTTTAGGCATGCTGGTTTGGTGCCCAGTACCTAGGGTCATATTTATGGCAGGGGACATAATCCATCAGGGTCATTGCACAAACTTTCATGGTTAACCTTTCTGTCTAGCTTGAGCAATCAGAGACTCAGGGCTCCCAGACGCTGGAAAGGTAATTATTTATGGTACTAGCACATGGTACTCCTCAGCATGGGAGGGACTTGTGGTTCTCCACTGGGCTGCTGTTTTCCTTTGTGATTTCTGCTTAATCCCTGCTCAGCCTTTGGGATTAGGGGATGAAAGATTGAGATTTGGGGTTGCTTTTGCTGCATCTCTGCCAGCCGGGATAGCTCTGTATTTTTCTTCATACACGGTCATGTCAACTCTTTTTGTTGTCTGCTTCTTCTTTCTAGGTGTGTTGTTGTGCTGTTCAACCCAAGAAAAAATAAGCAACACCATATTCTAAACAGTTCCAGGTGAGTGAAGCTTCAGGCTGGGCTTGCTTTTTGTGGGAGGTGAACATCAAGGTTTTTATGGCTTGACTGTGAAATGCAGTAGCTGATGTTGCTCCAGGCTAAATCCCCTTAGTGTGAGCTGCCTTGAGGGAGAGGCTGCCTGCTGGTTTAATTCCAGCTCCTTCTAATGTGAGATGCTGTTGCTGATGAGGCACCACGTCATAAACATTGTGGTCCCAAGAGGAACTGTTAACAGGCATGGCATGGGGGAGGTCTTATTACAGTTCCATAGTATCTGATTTATTTTTTTTTCTCCACCTGAAACTATGACCTCATTATTGAAGCCAGCACTAGGATCTGGCCCTGCATCTGGAATAAAGGCACCAGCCTGAAAGTTGGCTTTTGGAGCTTTTCCAGCATTGTAGGCATGCTGCCTGTGACTTGTGCAGCAGGGAATTCCCATGGCAAGTGTTAGATCTCTGGTAAAGCAAAGCCATTGTGTCAGGCTCTTATGTGTGATTTTAGCCTCATTCCAGTTTGTCCCAACCTACTCCCCAGTCATGATGTATTGAAAGGATATCACATGATCAAAATGTTTCTCAGTGTCATTTTCTCTGTTTTAGGAAAACAATTACAGCACTTGCTTTCTCTCCAGATGGGAAATATTTGGTTACAGGAGAGGTAAGTGGGAGAGGAGAGGGCACATCTTGTCCATCCCATTTTGCAGCAGGGCAGGGAGTTTTAGAAGAAACAGCCAGTGAGCTGCCTTGACACAGACAAATCTATTTCAGTGTTGCATCTCTTGATGGACCTGTTACAGGTGACTCTGGGTGCTTCTGCTGGCACTTGTTTAAGTGTGTTGTCTCTCATCAGCTTGGGGGATGGATCATCTGAGATGGCCTCTGTGGTCTGAAGGTAGAGTGAAAATACATGGAAGGACACACAGCATGGCTATACTAATCAGTGAAGTGTACTTAGATGGCCCTAGGTCTGAGTTTAGCATTGTCCCTTCGGGATTTCAGGAAGTAACTGAAGCCAGTAACAGTGTTATGGAAAAAGTGAAATGTACATGTGGAATGGAGCTTTAGGAATGGTGACAGCAGATGCTGGTGCCTGTGGTTTGGCATTGTATGTTTGGCTGGGGGCAACAATTGCTTCCCCTTTCCAAGCATGCTCAAGGGGGAGAACAAGGATGAGTGCACTGCATTAGAAGTTAAAGACATGGTCTGTGTCATGAGGCTGGAATTGCTGGATGTTAGAAATCCACAGAAATATTGACTGTCCCCCATATGGTTTGGCTTATTTTATTCTTGTGTGTGATTAATGGTAATTTACTACTTAGTCTCTGTGCCTCTGTAAAACATGGGGGGGAGCATGTGTGAAACAGGTCCCCTCCTGAGCCTCAGCCACAGAGAACAGAAGTATGTCCCAGCCCTGTGTTGGAGCTGTTCAAGGCAGAGGCTGCTCACCCCAGAGGTCCCTAGTGCAGCCACCGTGATGGCAGCTGTCATGTCACTGGGTGGCTCCCAATCTGGGCCTAAATCCTGCATGGATCAGGCCAAGGACAAATAACAGTGTTTTGGGATGGTGGCTATCTTGACATAGAAAAAGTAAGCCCAAATTTTCCATCAGAGATTGTTGTTGTTATTAACCTTTTAGTGAAAGCATGAGGTTTTATAGCTGCAATTTGTTTTAATGCCTCCTTCCACTCTAGAAGTATTAATGTAATAAAAAACCATTTGTATTAAAATTAAAAGTATTTTTTCTCTGTGGTGTTCAGTGCTGATGATGATTCTGGTGCCTTCTTTTCTTTCTGCTTTTGTGTTTGTTTTTTGGTTGGTTGGTTTTTTTGATGTTTTGTTTTATTTTTTTTCCTAAATCTTTGGTGCTTTATTCTTTTCATATGGAGTAGGAAAAGTGGTGAAAAATGAAGTGGGTATTTTTCTAACAAACAACATTTTGGTTTGAAAATTCATTGGGGGGAAAAAAAAAAAAGCTCTTCCCCAGTTACACTTGAAAGCTTTTTTTTTTTTTTGGCCTTGTTGCAAAACAGTCTCCTGTTGCCCTGTTGTAAAAACCTTTTCTCTTTTCAGTATCCTCCCACGTGTCTGACATTTGAGTTACTACTTAGCGTAGCAGTGTCCCCTGCCGGTGTCAGCAGTCTTGTCTTAGTTCAGCATCTGTCTTGTGGGGAAATGGTTTCCAGGTTCATTTTGTAAAGCTCACTTTTGGCAGCATTATGCTGGTTCTGCCTGGTAACACCTTAGTTTTCCGCGTGGCTGGCTTTTCAGGAAGGAGAGCATGGAGGTCAGACCTTGGCCACCATACATATTAAATGTCTTTTATGTATTTCAAATCCAGAAGGTTTTGTTTTGGTTTTGTTTCTTTCTCCCCATGGAGTGACCGCATTCTTATCCCTGGGGATCACACAGAGCTCACTTTTGGTGAGCTTTTCTTAAATGATTAAATACAAATTCAGCTTGTAAACATCTTGAGGTGAAAGCCAAGATGCTGTGAAAAAAAAATTATATATATGTATATTTGTCTTTATTCAAGTATGTATGTGTTTAAGTAAAGCAATTGCTTTGAAGAGCAGCTGATCCAGCTCATTGTAACGCCTTGCCAGCCACCTTGAGACCTGAGCTCTGCCTTGCAGGAGAGAGAACTGTACCACGTGCAGTAAAACCTGACCATGGCATTTTTCCAGGCCACAAGGAGTTGCTTGGCAAAACTTTTGAATGAGACAATTAAAACATGCACAATTCTGAGTTGTTAAAGCTTTGATTTCTCCTTCTGATCAGACTTGCCTCTCCCACACAATCAAATTACTTGCTTAAAACTGATCAGAAAAGGTACCATTTTGCCATGTTGCCATGGATATGTTATCTTGCAAGCTACTGTTTTGACGAGACTTCATTGTGAAATCAGGAGTAGGCTCTTTGAGTAGCATTGGCCCATCAGGCACATTTTTGGCCAGCATTTCAGCTCATCTTGTGTGCCTTGTTTTATTTTGCTTTAATAACAACCAAAAAAAAATGAAACAAAAGAATAAAATTATCTTGCAAAAGATACTGAATTGGCACTTCTGAAGTCTGTGACCACATGTTTCTTGGGAGAACAAGTGTAAAACCAGAGTCTGTGTTCCCTCCATGTCTTTTTTTCTGATGCTACCCTGTCTGTGCTCTTTCATCTGTGTGTTATCTTTGTGACAGGAATGATGCTGCCAGTCTCCCAGAAGCCTCCATCAAATGGTGTGTGATAGTTATCGTAACAGTCATGTCATGTTTTTATATGGCATGACCTGGCTTGAGATCTCTGATGTCCATGTTGTGTTGGGAGCAGAGGACATGAGGGCCTTTTAATTCACTGAGTCCAGAGATAGGATTTTTAGAATCGTTTTTGTGTGCTGTGAGTTCCCATTGCAAAGATCAGGGATGCACATCAAAAGTATTGTTCTCATCTCTAGCTGTTTCGTGAGTACCATAAGAAGAGGATTAATGCAGGAGTGATGGTATTAATTCTTTCAGACACCTGTTGAAAGGCATATACTCTTTTAAGTTGTTAGTCTCAAGCTGGGCTTTAAAGAACTGAAGGAACCTCTAACCCTGTAGTGAATGCACCATCTAGACATCTTTTTCCAAGTGCTCACACATTTATGTGCTCGAATTTGTCAGAACTGACCTTGGGAGTTACATTTCCTATTCTGTGTCCTTGTCCTCTCCAGAGTGGACACATGCCAGCAGTTCGGGTATGGGATGTGGCTGAACGAACCCAGGTGGCTGAGCTCCAGGAGCACAAGTATGGTGTGGCCTGTGTGGCCTTTTCCCCCAGCTCCAAGTACATTGTTTCAGTGGGGTACCAGCATGACATGATTGTCAACGTGTGGTCATGGAAGGTAAGTTCTCTTGGAGGTTGGGTGGACCACAGGATACTGCTGAATTAAAGAGAGTGGACAGTCTAACCCTAGGCTATTTCAGTTTCATCTTGCTTTCTGCTTCTTTTAAAAATTATGTTGTTGTTTGTTTTTTGACATTCATGGACACAGACAAGTTTGTACATGAGAGAGAGCTCTGGTCCCTTAGGGAAGATCCATGGCACTTCGGTGAAGGGATGTTCTTTATACTTGAAGACATGTGACATCTTGCTGTCCAGCCAGAAAAGCCTGGATTTTGCAACCTTGTCAAAACCTTCTACTTTTTTAGAGGCTTATTAAAAACTAATTTATGAGGTTGAGGAAGAAAAAGTCTCATCAGCCAGGGAGTTTTTTTGTGGTGCAGTGGTTGCTCTTGGCTTGTTTGGTTTTTTATGTGTCAGGATTTGTGATGCTCTGATCCCATCCTTGATGAATCAAGAAAGGGAACACAGAGAAATCACAGTGAGTGAAAGCTGATGGAGGTCACTTACTGCCACTGACTGGGTTGGTGCAGCACTCTGTGGAAACAAAGCTCGTGACTTATCCTCTAGAAAACATTTGTGTGTGCTGTTTGTATATAAGAAAAGAAATGTTTATTACCAGTAGGCTTGGAGTCTTCTGTAGCTCCTGCTACTTCTTCAGGTCCTGTAGCTCTCTCTAGAAGATACGTGATTTAAAAAAAAACAACTTCAGTTCATCTGTTAAAATATTACATAATTATAGAATCATAGAATGATTTGGGTTGGAAGTGACCTTAAATTCCAGTCCTCCTGCCATGGGCAGAGATATCTTCCACTAGGCCTGGTTGCTCAAAGCTCCATCCAACCTGGATGCTTCTATGGCTGGGCCAGCCGCAACTTCCCAGTGCAGCCTGTTCCAGTGTCTCACCACCCCCACAGTGAAGAATTTCTTCCTAATATCTGACCTAAATCTGCCCTCTTTCCACTTAAAACCATTACCCCTCATCCCATCACTACATGCCCTGGTAAAAAGTCCCTCTCCAGCTTTCTTTAGCCCCCTTCAGGTATTGGAAGGCTGCTGCAAGGTCTCCTTGGAGCCTTCTCTTCTCTTGCAGCTTATAAGTCTGTGTTCATTTAGTATATTACTCTCTTAATCACATTTCCTATGCTGTAATTTAAGATCTAACTGTGCTCCTGCATGAGCTGAAGTTTCACCTTATTTTTTTTTAGTAGAGCTGAACTATGTGGTGATGAATGAGATTGTATGAACTATGTAGTGACTTGGAGGTGGTCATAATACATGGCGTATGTGGGACAGTACAAGTAGCTTTGTTTCCTCTTGCTTACACAGGTTTTTCTGTTCACTGCAATCCTATTTATAATTGTGTGTATGAGAGCTTGTGAGGGCTATCTTGGTCTTCCGTGCTGAAGAACATGCACTTTAAGCATATGTTTCAGCTATAACTATTGGGAGGTCCAGCTAGCCTTCATTTTGGAGACTAGTCACCAAAACTAGAGAAACTTTACCTGACCGAAGTCAAAGATGAATAAGAGACCAAGATGTGAAAACAGATCTTCTGAAGCCCTTTCCTGTACTTTTAAACACAACCCTTCTATCCACTGTGCTGCTGCTTCAATTTAGCAGTTTTTCATGGCTGGGAGACATACTCAGTCATTTGACTGTGATGGAAAATAAACCTCCTGTTACCTTTAGGGTCCCCTTGCTTCCCTAAAGAAAGGCCACAGGAACAGTCCAGATGTTGAGTTCTACAGCCATTCTAAGCCTTTCTCTGTTGACTGTCTTGAAAGAAGTTCTGTTAATGGCTGTCCCCCTTGCTTTTCCCCCCAGTCTGGGTTGGGGGGGTCTCTGAGGTGACAGCAGCCCAGACTGCTGTATTGCCAGTTTCTTCAGTTCTGTCTGCATGTTGTCCAAAGGGGCCCTCAGTGTGGTGAGTTTGTGTGCTGAGGGCATTGTGTTGCGAAGACTGGGAGTGATCCAGTCTCTAAAAGGAAGGGTAAAGGGAGCAGAACGAGAATAAAGAGTGGTGCATTTTGTACTCTGTGTGCTGAAGGGCAGAGAGGAAGACTTTTTTATTCTCACTTCTACCAGTCCCTGGGGAAAAGCAGGGGGAGGAGAACTGAGTACTGGTATTGTGGACAGGGAGCTCCTGGCATGTGACTGTTCTGCTTAGGCAGTGTCCATTTCTGTTCTCTGTCCCTGCAGTGTTCTTCTTCCTTTCCCAAACTCTTTGATGTTTTGAGGGGCGCATTTGAGATGCAGCAGACTTTGTTTTGTCCCTTCCAAAACAGGCATGATGTTTTTCTGTTTTGAGTCTTTCAAGAAATGAGGAACCAGTACTCATTTCCTTGCAGAAAATGCCTGTTCCTCATCTTGCATGCCCTGCTCTCCTTGCTGGCTCTCCTGGAGGCTGGGAGAGCTCCTCCTTGTGCTGGCCAGCATATGCTTTTGCTGTTTAGAAAGGGAAATGGGTTTGCTCTGAGCTCCCGGTGATTGTGAAACCAACATTTGTCATGGCTCAGACAGCAAGTTCCTGCAGGCACTAGTGCCTGCTGATTTGTTCTAGATTCCAGTCAACGTGGAAGTGGAATTGAATGTAAATATGAACTGTACTGTCCACCAAATTAGTGCTCCCAGGTAATACTGGGGAGGTTGAATTTAGGGATGAGTAGGGAACAGTTTGGGCCTCATCTTTTCCCTGCTGCAGCATTTCTGCCTGTACTTGAAATGAGTTTCCTTTGCTTTTGAGTGAAGAAATTAAGTTATCTAAACAATTATGTTTCCAGAAAAACATTGTAGTGGCAGCCAACAAAGTCTCAAGTAAAGTGACAGCCGTGTCATTCTCAGAGGACTGCAGTTACTTTGTCACTGCTGGAAATCGACACATCAAGTTCTGGTACCTGGATGACAGCAAAACGTCCAAGGTGAGAAAACATGCATCAAAGCCAAGCTGTGAACAGGCATTTCCATCTTACTGCAGGGTGGATTTTGCCCCAGTGACCTGTGGGAAGTGGGAACTCTTTGGTTTTTCCTGGGATTCAAGGATAGCCCTCCCCCCTGCCCTGGCTATCAAGTCTCAGTCTTCCCATGGGCTTGTGGCACCAAAAGCTTGTCTTACCCTGAGCTGAGATGGGGGCATGTCTCCTGGTGTATAGCAGCATACTTGTTCTTTAATAGTTGTATATACTGAAGGGCAGAAAAATCAGAAAAGAGCGGCAGTTTTTGAACAACTGCAGCTTATTGAAGGTGAGGAGAGCTGTTTGATGTTGGTATGGACTTCTCAAAAGGTTATAAGTGTTATTTTGAGTCTTATGAGTGTTTAAATGATATTTTTCTGTGGCCTCACAAACATATGTTCGTGCTTCATGCTTGAACACTGCTTTAGCATTTGGTACAGATTAGCCATGGAAGATTTGTTCCTCCCAGTGAAGGATCTGCTATCTCTGGGTCATAGGTTTGGAAACATAGTTTTGATGTCATAACATTCTGTTCCACTGATGTGCTAATAGTGATGGTCCCAATACACTGTGCAGCCACTGGGTCTGCAGCAGGTAAAATGTGTCACTACGTCTCCTTGTAGGCTTTTCGCAGCTCTCCTTCTTTAAGGCACTTCAGCTCTCAAGGCTTGATGTTCTAAAAAATGTCTATCTGCCTGAAGTACCTTGCTGTATTTCTAACCAACTGTTTTCTCTTGGTAGGTCAATGCCACGGTCCCCTTGCTAGGTCGCTCAGGATTGCTTGGAGAACTGAGGAACAACTTCTTTGCAGATGTGGCATGTGGAAGGGGCAAAAAAGCTGACAGCACCTTCTGTATCACATCCTCAGGCCTGCTCTGTGAATTCAATGAAAAAAGGCTGCTAGACAAGTGGGTAGAGCTGAGGGTGAGTTTTCCATCCTTCTGTCCTGCAGTATTTGCCTGCTGAAGCAGAGCAGGCACAGCAAATAATAAGGACACAGGGATTGCAAGCTGACCACCAACAGTGAAAGTATCTGGGCCTCTGCCACTTTGTGTTTTACTCTGGAAGGCCAGGCAAAAATAGCATTGCTCCTCAGCAAAGGAATGTTATTAATCATTGAGGCTCTTTCATTCTCAAGCCTCAGCCTTACAGCTACTGCCCTTCTGGCAAAGCAGTGTCCTGATATAACTTTGGCAAACCCCAGTTTGTCCCTCCTGGCTTGGCCTGGACGAGTAAGAGTTTTAGAAGGATTCTGATTTCTGTCCACTCTGAAGTGTCTTACTTGGCTTGTACATCTCAAATGCAGGTTCCTGAGGTACTGCTTGGTTTGTCTATTCTACCAGGCTGGCCAATAAATTCGTCGGTGCTCGTTTTTCTTACAATTGAATGCGAGATGCCTAGCTGAAAGGATTCATGTATTAAAATCAAGGGAAAAATCTTTCCATGCTTTCACTCAAGTGAAATGCCTCTTCTTTTCTTTCCTTTCCTCTCTAAAATCTGCTTTTCACTCTTGCTCAGAATACAGACAGCTTCACAGTAAGTTGGAAAAAAGTTTTCCATTGAACTCATCCCCTTATCACCATAAGCCATTTTGTACCATTTTCTGCCATTTGTACTGATCCCAGCGGGAGGGGGAAGAAAATAATTTTTTTTCTTATTTACTTGTGACAGGTAATATATTGGCTTGCTAGTACAGGATCAGGTGCTGCTTGCCTGCTAGTGGTGCTGAATGTCACAGAGGAACAAAAAACAAAGTTCAGAGTAAGACTCACCTGGGGCAAATGTGCAGCTCTGCTGACCTCACACCACTGTGGGTGACAGAGGAATTCAGCTTGGAATTAACCACTTGGAATCTGCAATGGACCTTGGCTAGGAAGCTCCTCAGAAAAAAAAAAATAAAATATTTTAGACTTTTCCTTACTCCCAGGGCTTCACTTCACTTCAGCTTTTCTAACCATGACTCCTTTGTCTGTTGATATACTGTTCTCCCTGTCATGTGTCTGGTGATGTTTGAAGTGAGAGCACATTGCTTACTTGCCATCTTGTGTGCTGTGTCCTTCTCAGACCACTGTGGCAAACTGCATCTCTGTGAATCACGACTACATCTTCTGTGGCTGCGCTGATGGCACCGTGCGGATCTTTAACCCTCTGAACCTCCACTTTGTCACCACCCTGCCGAAGCCGCACTTCCTGGGAACAGACATTGCCAGTGTCACTGAGGCCAGGTACTGTGGAGAGGGTGAAAGGGAGCAAGGAAGGCGTCCGGGCGTTAGAACTGTTCCCCAGACCTTTGCCATCTGGACCGTGCTCTTTTTATGGATTAAAATTGGCAGCCTGTTGCAGATCTCCCTGAGCTGTTGCAGTTTTGCCTTGCCTGCCTGGGCTCCAGTCCAAAGCTGGTTGCTGGAGTACACAGCATAGCTTGCACTTCATCTCCCTGGGATTGCTCAGGTCTGGTGGCCTTTTGACAGTGGTTGCCATGAGCAAGCAGGCAGAAGGCACGAGATGCTGTGGCACACTTCAGTTGCTCCTGAATATGTTCCATGGCATATCTTTTGCTTGTCACTGGTAAGGGCTGAAGACTTTCCTCCATGTTAGTACAATCATGTTGCTAAGAGATGTACAGGCTCTCACGGGGTATTTTTTCAAAGGTTTTCTTCCAGGCATTTGTAGACCCAAATCTTCTACTATCTTTTGTAATTTTTCTTCTCCCTATATCTTGTCCATGATGTTGTTTCATTTTTCTGCCTTGCTCAAGATAGCTATCTGGCTATCTTCTGCTTTGACTCTCTGTTTCTCACCTTCTGAGATGGGTATTGTAAGTTCCATACAGCTCTGTCTGTCAGCTTCTGGAGACTTATGCCAGAGGAGCCCCTTCATGTGTTGCTGTTCGACAGTCCTGGTTGGAGGCTTCTTCTGTTGCCCACTTCTGTCACTAGTGGGGAAAGAAATCCAAAGGTGTAATAATTGACCAGCCATCATTCCATGGGATATCTGGAGTTCCCACATCTACAAATATATACGCTTTTTAATTTTCCTTCCTTTTTCTTTTTTTTTTTTTTTCCATTTGTGTCTCAACAGGTTTTCTCTAAACTTTCCTTGTGAACTTGAGGTAAAGGTTCAAACTATATAGTGCATTAAATAGTCCCTCTCCAGAAGATCAAAATGTTAAAATGTTAGCAGCTTTTGCTACTGCTAAAATAAATTGTACGCATGGACCCTTTAAAAATACTCTCTGCTGCTCGTAGGAGACAATGATATTCTAATAAGGAAGATGGAAAAGGAACTCTGAATTTAAAATGTTAGCAGCTTTTGCTAGTGCTAAAATAAATTGTACACATGGACCCTTTAAAAATACTCTCTGCTGCTCTCACCCATCAGTTGAGCAGAAATATTCATGTGATTCTTAAACATGCATTTGTAGTGCTGATTACAATCTTAACAACTTTTTATTACTTCCAAAGAAGCTTAAAAACACAGGACTCCTTATTTTCCCATGCATACCCGATCTTTGTGGGATGGCAGTTGCCCTCAATGCCCACAACTGTATCAATGACTTGATTTTTTTTTATGGGATCTGAGCTGCACTCTTCTCGCCCTCAGAGCTTTGCCTGCTAAAGCAGGCCTTTGCCTTGCAGTGCAGGGCTCCCATTGTCTGCTGTGCTACATGAGCTTTGACCCTCATCTCTGCATCTCCACCATCTGCGTCTTTTAAATTACCTGCTCTCAACACCCTGGTACTCCGGCTATAGTTGCCTTATTTTATGCCATTAACAGCATTGTGGGATGGCTGTGTTCACCTCAGGTCAAGAGAGCAGCTCCTTCTTTGTGTGCATAGCAGCAAGACTCAACAGAGGACTCCTGTAGAGGGTTAACATGGTGTGATTTTGGTCTAACGTGGGAAAGGAGATGTTTCCTTGTTCTACAGAAGTTCTCTGTTTTAAAGTTTGCATCAGAGCTTGCCTATCTAGAGAGGACTGTACCCATCTGCGGTTGCCCATCTCATGAGCTGCTGCAAGCAGCACCAAGCTGGCCTATGTGTGGGGCATGGGTGGAAAGAAAGTATGTCACACAAGTGGGGCCACGGAAATGAATTGTCCCTTTGTCCCTTGTGCTGGTGTGCTCCTTTCTCCTGAGACAAGTAGTCTACTGCTTGGTCATGCACAAGAGCTGTTCCTGCAAGCAAGAAACAAAATATACTACCCACCAAAAGATGGTCCACCATCCTCTTTGAGACTTGACTTGGTTTTTACAGCCTGGTTATTCAGAGGTAAATTATGATGATCTTCTGTGATGATCAAGTGTTCAGTCACATGTCTGTGATGGGACTCTGGGTTGGACGGCAAGAAGAATGACTGTTGCCGTGGGGCTTTCAGGCTTCTTTTGGGACTCTGGTTGTTCAAGAGACAGGTCTTTGCAGCCAGCTACCTATGTATGCCACAGTGTATTGTTCATCTTGACACAACCGTGTGAAAAATCCAAACTCTCATGTTTTACTTCCATGCTCTGACTCCAAGAATCCAAATTAATCAGGCTTTTGTTCTCTCTTTGTGCAGTCGTCTTTTCTCTGGTGTGGCTGATGCGAAGTATCCGGACACAATTGCATTGACCTTTGACCCCACCAACCAGTGGCTTTCCTGTGTATACAATGACCACAGCCTGTATGTGTGGGATGTCAAAGACCCGAAGAAAGTGGGCAAGGTGTACTCTGCTTTGTACCACTCTTCCTGTGTGTGGAACATTGAGGTATGTTGTCTACAGGTGCAAGTGTTGGATTGTGAGTTGCAGCTGAGGAATTAATCTGAAGAACCACCAAATTTAAGTGCAAACATGTACTGCAGACTTCCTCCTGTGGTTAGTGTGGTTGCTATAGGACTTGAGATGGAGCTGGGAACAGTTCTTTGCACTGCAATGGATGACCAAATGCATTAGATGCAGTGTGCTACTGGAAAAAGTCTTGCATTAAAAGGTGAGAGGTGGGAGAAAGAGCAGAACTGGACAAAGCTGAATGCAGAGGTGCCTCTCACAAAATGCACAAGAGTTCACTGCTGACCTCAAAAAAAAAAAAAAAAAAGTTTGAGGTCTGTGGTGAGCATATGCTCTAAAGTCAAAGGAACGAAACAAGTGATAAGACCTCAACTCTGATCCTTCTTAACCTATGTACCAGGATATCCTGCTCAAGTGGCCATCATCTTGCAGTCTGTCTAGTTGGCTTTGCCTCAGAGGGACAGAGGGGTGGAGAGGAGGAGGGTTAGGAAACTATGTAATCATTAATGTGTTGAAGTATGTCCAACAGTAGTCAGGAAAGGGGGAAGTGGAAATAAAGTGGGAACAGGCTGAGGATTCTTTATTATTATTTATTTATTGCATCTCACCCTTTTTTTCGGATTACAAATTGACAGTAGTAGCTAAACGTTGCCAACTGTGGTGCAGAGTCGTTGTTGCATGGTCTTTGAGATGCTCTCTTTGAACCGTTAGTTACACACTTCTTAAGGAGATGTTCTGCATTCAGGGAAGCTCAGTGAGCATTTGTTTGAAGTGAACACAAAACTCTAGTCTGCAAACAGGTTTTTGTTAGGAGAACTGGCTGGCTCTCACCTTTACAGAACAGACAGGACAGCCCTTTGTCTTCTTTTGTTTAGAAACTTGGTACCAGTGTTCAGGATGCCAAATACCGGGCAATCTCATTCAGGGGTTGATTTTACCTGCCCTTAGGTGTATCCGGAGGTGAAGGACAACAATCAGCCATGCCTCCCCCCTGGTTCATTCATCACCTGCTCCTCTGACAACACCATTCGTCTGTGGAACACTGAGAGCTCCAACATTCATGGCACAGCCCTGCACCGCAACATCCTCAGCAATGTAAGATCCCAGATTTTGATCACCTCCTTGCCTTTGGGGTTGCTATTCCTTATGCACAGGTATTCCCAAGTTAAGGCCCAAACTTCTTGGGATCTCTGAGTCAACACAGGCTTCCCTGTAAACAGAGCACAAGTCTGAAGCTGAAGAAACATGAAGGGAATATCAGGTGGAAAGAAAGTTTGTCTGATATGGTCTTGTGCACTATTCATTTTTCCATAAACCATCCAAGGATTCACCAAACTTAGTCTCTTCCAAAATGGCTCATGCCACATACTTCAGAAAAGCTTTTTCTCTTTTTCTCCATCTCTGTAAACACTTCAAGATTTGTTTGGAAAAGGTGCATTAAATGAGGCAGAGGTTCTGGAGAAACAATGAGGAGGATACTCATATGGAACAGTGATTACTTGTGGACATTTGCCTCTGTTCTTAGTTATGTTGGAGGACCCATGGACGTAGAAGCACTGACCTGTGCGTTCTTGGCAATTTGTTCACGGTGGAAAAAGCTCCTGCTTTTTCTGTCACTTCTCAAAAGCCATGGGCAGCATTACTGCCAGTGAAGTATAGATACTGGCCAGGAGCCCAGTTTCTAAGGCAGGTCCTTCACTTTAGTATTTTGTAACCAGCTAATATATCTATGTGTATTGTATCCCCAGGACTTGATGAAAATCATCTATGTAGATGACAACACGCAGGTACTTCTGGACACTGATTACAACTCAGCAGGCAGTGCCGACAAAGCTGATGCACAAGTGATGGACACGAAGGTGGGGATACGCACTGTCTGTGTGAGTCCCAGTGGGGAGCACCTTGCCTCGGGGGACAGGATAGGCACTCTCAGGTAATCCCATAGGCTTCTTGTGCAAATTGCATGCTGGGCAGGTATGAGAATCACAACCAGGTTCTTGCTAATTTTATTAAACATACTGAATCAGCCATATTGTGTCTTAGGATATATGAGTTGCAGTCTCTGACGGAAATGCTAAAGGTGGAAGCTCATGACTCAGAGATCCTATGTCTGGAGTACTCCAAACCTGACACAGGTAAATGCAATTAAGCTTATTCTATTTTGCATGTGAATGTAGCGTTGAGCAAGTCAAGAATGTCCAGTCATGGTATGTCGGAACTTTCAGTGGTGAGCTACTCTTGGATTTCAGAGCAGGCTTGTAGTGTTGGGCTAGTAGAGCCTAACTTTGAAAAAGTCTTCTGTCTCATACTTTTCCTTGGAATATTGTAGGTTGAGTTCCAAACTTGTTCTGTTTGTTATAGTAGTGTGAAATCCAGGAGTGTTCCTTTGTCCCTAAGATGACTGAGAAGCTGTTTTAAAATAGTGACTGGAAGAGCAAATTACTTTTAATAATGGTCTTGTACTCTTTTTAACTTTCTGACAGGCTTAAAGCTCTTGGCCTCAGCCAGTCGGGATAGGTTGATTCATGTCTTGGATGCTGGAAAGGACTACAGCCTGCAGCAGACCCTGGATGAACATTCTTCTTCCATCACTGCTGTGAAGTTTGCAGGTAGAGAATCATGGCCTCCCTCCAATGCTGGATTTGAGTATTGCTGTTGTCCCATTGTGTTGTAAAGTAATTTTAACTGCTTAAACACTGGGTTACGACAGGCTGAAGCTGCAGCTGCTTTTTTGTAAACTTCTGTAGCTGCAGTCCTAACAGGCAGTGATATTTGACAATACTTGCCTTCTTTTCCCTTTTGTTTTTTTCTCCTCTCCTTCCTCCCCACTAAAAACCATCTCCTGACTGAAGTCCTAAGCATTTCTTTGGAAAGTTGTTTTCTGTAATGATTTACTCCCTTTAACTCATGTCAGATGGCTACATGCACTCTGAGCATTAACAAGTCCTGTCCCTGAGAAGGGCCTTTTGTTTTGCTGCAGCATCCTGCTGCTTAGGTAGGAGTCAAACTTAGCTAATCAGGCCTGGAATAAATGAGCAGTGGTATAAATGGAAACATTTCCTCCACCTGGTATTTGTGTTTATCTTTTGATCCCTCCTGCCTTTTGCTGCAGCCAATGATGGAAAAGTGCGAATGATAAGCTGTGGGGCAGACAAGAGCATCTATTTCCGAACTGCGCAGAAGGTAACCTCATTACAGCTTTTTGTGCACTTTTAAAAAATAATCTCTCCACAAAGGAACTACTTCAAAGAGTGATATCAGAGTTTCTGGATGAGCTTGTTAATATTTCAGCCTCAGTGTCTCCCACTGACTCAGTGCAAGAGATTACGTTTGGAGAGCTAGTTCTGTGAAGTATGCAGCTGTTCCGAGCCTGACCTCTCCCAGCAAGATGCAAAGTAGACAGCTGTCAGGATATCTGGTTTTCTTTCACTGCCAAGGCTACTGTGAGGAGTGGTGAAAGGGTATGGGTTGGAAAGGAGTTCCTTGTGCCCCCAGTTCCAGCAGACCTGGTTAAGTGGGAAGAGTTGGTTTCTATTTAGAAGTTTTTAACAATGGGTTAACTACTTGATTTTGACACAGTCTCTACTCACATACTAGACAGGAGAAGGGGTTCAGTTTACCCGAACGCATCACATTGTTAGGAAGACCACTCTGTATGACATGGATGTGGACCCCAGCTGGAAATATGCAGCTATTGGATGTCAAGATCGTAACATCAGGTTAGTTTACTTCTTGTCTTGAAAACATTTTTGCAGTCTTAAATGAGTTGGCCAAGGGGGGGTCCATCCCCATTGTTGTTCCTCATTGACACAGCATTTTCAGACCAATCTGCAGCCTCACCTCACACTTTGTGAGGTTGAACTCTCCTTTCACCCTCACTGATGAAAAGTTGTGAATATATGCAAATGCCCATGGGACCCAGCTTCTCGCTGGGTCGCTCTGTAGAGCAAAGTCTGGGAGAGCAGGTGTGCCTTCCTTTACACACAACTGAGCTGTGGTAATTTTTACTTTTAAAGTTATGTCTAGTGTGAAGCTGTGTGAGGTACCATAGAATAGCTGGAGCTGTTGGAACCTGAAATTGAGCTAGGAGTGACTGTATTTTGACATGTAGAATCAATTTTCTGCTCACTTTATATTCATTTCCCCAATCTGTTTCTGCCTTCAAAGCAAAAGAGACTGTAGTTGTTGTGTCTCCTGCTGTTGTATCATGGCTGAATACCACTGCTGAATCTGATTTGCAGTTGTATTTTAATGTAGATAAAGGGTCTTGCTCTCTTAACCTTTTACTTTAATATGAAGGAGCCAGAGGTATTTTTAAAGCAGGGAGGACTGACTGAAGCCTATCAAGAGCCATTCCTTATCAAGAGCATAACCATTCACCGTTAGAAGGCATGGAAAGGTTTTCTCCCTCCCATTTGACCTCTCCTTCAGTGCCATGATGCTATGCTTGTTTTTGGTTATCAGCTTCAGAATCAAGCCTCAATTTTAATTCAGATAATATGCTTGATATTAAATAGTTCAATCTTGAGCCTTTACATTACTTTCAAGGTTGTTTCTTGAACCATTTAAGTGATCGGTGGTTATAGTTCATTGACATGATTTTTCCATTTCCTGTGGCTTGGCTCTGGTCCCTTCTCATGTGGAATGAGAAGCAGAAAGAGAAAAGGATCTTGGTGACAAGATCCAGAGAGCAATACCTGGACTAAATAAGCAATGTTCTCTTATGTCATTATTCTCAGGGTTTTCAATATAAGCAGTGGGAAGCAGAAGAAGCTTTACAAGGGTTCCCAAGGTGAAGATGGCACCCTCATCAAAGTAAGCTGTTTTCTTTCTTTATTACTTTTTCCTTTTTTTCCAGCTCTTCTGAATGCAGCTCAGGGCTAAGAAAATGAAATACAAATCTGAACACAATAACTTTGGGATTTTTTGTGGGTTTTGTGTTTTGTTTTTTGTTTTTGTGCTTTTTTCCCCGCTTGCTCCATACTTTGTCCCTTATCCTGCTGCTGCTTACTCCTACCTCCATCCCTAAGGGCTGGTAATATTATTTGGTTTCCATCAAGCTAAAACAGGAAAAGAGTCAAGGAATGCTGAGGTTGGTCTATAACCTCTCTCTGTCCTGTTTCTGAAGTGAGCCACAGGCTTGTGCCATAAAAGCAAGTAGAACTGCACCAGTATCTGTCAGGAGATGATTTAGTCCATTTACTTTAATTGTTTACTTTCTGTTCCAGAGACCTCATTCTGGCTTTCTTGACTATTTTTTAATAGGATTTTTAAGGTGGTGGTGGTTGATCAATGTTTGAGAAATTTGTGGTTGCCTGAGGGGAAATGTAACTGAAACTATGAGTTGATTAAATAAAGAAGCATCTACCCTGAAAGGCCTGTATTCTTCAGGTCTTGGAGTGCTGGACAAGCTTGGTACTGTTTATAGTGTTCATGTTTCTTACCTGCTGAGTACATCCAGGCCTTGGGCAGGGTAGCATGTCTGTTTCTGCTGCTGTCCTAGGCTTCCCCTGGTAAACCAGGTGCATTCAACATTCAGAGTGATGCCAGTGCACTGGGATGTGGAAGAATCACATTCTTGTCTTTAAAGGGGAAGACTAATTGACACAACAAAAATATCTCCCAAGTGTTTTCATTGCATTTGTTTTCACTGATAATTTTTCTACATTTAAAATGAAATATTTCTGTTTAGCTGCCCAGGCCAGCAGTGTTATTGAAGGGTGTAAATAACTGGGTAAAGAGGGAAAAGAAAATGAACAGTTTTGTTCAGTGTCACTTCTTCTGTTTTACAGAGAAAGAGAAGTTCTCTTTCTCTTTGCATGTTATAATTCCTACAAAGTCTTTTATAAGCCAGAATAATGAAAATGAAAAATTCCTGCTACACTTTATTGCTGGTGCTTGATTATATCATTCTCAGACCACAAACCATGAAATGTTGCTGGGAGCTGGAATTTTTGTTTTTAATATCCTTTATGTTTTTTGTTTTTGCATGCGTAGCTCAAGTGTGGAATCTCAATTATTTTTAGTATTGCTTTGTTCATTTATAGTTCAATAATGTAGCCAAGGGATTATGGTTGTCTCTGGAATTTAAACTTCCTTGGCATGTTGTTCTGAGATTGTAATATACATTGTGGTTTAACAGGTAGAACCCAAGCAGGGACATCCAAAACAAAAGATACAGCAACAAAATAAACATAGCCAAAAAATGTTATCATTATTTAAATACAGTGTCTCGAAAAATAAGACATTTTCACTCTTGGTTCCTTGAAGCTCTACAAAGGGCAAAGCAGGACATTTGGTGACAGTAGCTGTATTTGCTGTGTAGTGCTGCTTTAGACCTCGTGAGGCATTTGGAGAGGGTTCATATTTGATCAAGATAAAGCAACAAGTGACTGTATATGCAAGTAAAACAACCACAACTGATCCAAAAAGGGGAGTTGCAAGTGCTGGAAATTGACAACATCGTTATCAGAAAATTTCTCTGCAATGTTGAGTTCTTTTTTGGTTTCTGTCCTTAAGAGGAGTATTTTAATATTTCAATTAACGCTATCAGCTCTGATTATGTTTTTTGGGGAGGGTGTTTTGGAGTATGGGTTTTGTTTTGATCTTAAGAAAGATAACAGTAAGACCCTAGTCGTTGAAAGGAGGTATGAGAGAGAAGTGTAAGTCTCTCCATTGGTAATGGTGCCTTCACAGTCAGGAAGGTGCTTAATGTAAATGTCTTTAGTCTCTGATGAGGCTGGAGATAGTTTAACATGTTAATCAAGTTGGAGATTTGTCCTGGGATGCTGGGTAGCCTGGTACTTAACTGGAGTCCTGTAAAAGCTATTTGCATTTTATTAATTTAACTACTATGACTGTTCTGGTTATTCTGGACCATTTTCATGTAGTTTGAAGGCACTGTCTCACCGGACCTTTGCACTTCTTGTATCTCCTCATCCAGGTGCAAACAGATCCCTCTGGTCTTTATATTGCAACCAGTTGTTCAGACAAGAACCTCTCCATCTTCGATTTCTATTCTGGCGAGTGTGTTGCAACCATGTACGGACATTCAGGTAAGACACATAAGCTTCTGGAAATGCATTTTTTTTCTCTTGATGACTATATAGCAGGGTCTGATAGTAGTTCAAGTCCTTTCTGAAGGTCCCTCCCTACCAGAGTTTACTCAGTGGGTATTTTGGAGTAGGATATGGTTGGATGAAGTCTAATAGCTTATTTCATTGCAATTTCAACTTTTTTCAGACCTCATTTTGCATTGCAAAACGCAAGCACACACATGCCTGTCAGGGCATGTATTTGTTTACACAGTTTTTCTAGTAGCCTGTAAGGTAATCTGTGTTTTTGAAGCATGTATTAAGTTTTGTTATGATATGCTCTCACCTCCTACCATGCAGAGACTATTCTATTAAAGCAAAAAGAGACTTGAGTCTTCATGCATATATTGCTGTGGGGATAGCCTTACTATGTCAAGCTGAGATTGTTAAATGGTTACGGTAAGTGGGGCCTATTGATCAGTGAAGAATATTTGCTTTAATCAGAATTCGAGTTACTGAGCACAGCTGTTTGGCTGATGATCTCTTCTGCCAGTTGGAATAATTCAAGGAAGGTTTTGTTTGCTTGTGCTTTATTTCACACAGAGATTGTAACCGGGATGAAATTCAGTAATGACTGCAAACATCTGTGCTCTGTTTCTGGTGACAGGTAAGAGCGG